GGGGAGGGGAGGGTTTCCCCAGGCCTGCCCAGGCAGCAGCCGCTCCTGTTTCCTTTCAGCTGCTCTTAGAGACAGCAGACAGGCCGGGCAGGAACCCAGCGTGCTTGGCTGCCCCCCCCCACCTTTAGCTGACGCAATTATTTATTAATTCTCAGAAAGGAGGAAGAAAGACACAGAAACAGAATCCATCATAGGGTTACGAACACTCTGTGCTGTCCGCTGGGGTGGAACAGTCCAGTCATCCCAGCCGGTTCGCCGGCTCCTTCTGAGCCTCTCTGCAGCCCGACACGAGCCAGGAGCATCTGGGGATGCAGGAGCATCTGGGGATGCAGGAGCAGGTGTCGGCCGTGCTTCCAACAGGCCCGCTTGCAGGAGAGGGGGAGGGATGAGTGAAGATGTGTCAGACTCTGCCACCAGTCACCTGCCTTGGAGCTCCACAGCAATCACCAGCTCTGTCAGGGGCTCTCTGTGCTAAGCACACTCTATGTATTTACCTGTGTACCTTTGATTCCTCATTTTACACGTGAGGATACTGGAGGAACAAGGATGCTGAGGTGGGCCTGAGATGGCCCAGCGGCCAGAGGCTCAGGGACGCCCTTGGCCACCACCCTCTGGGCCCCACCCAGTGCCAGGGCTGCGTGCTTTCCGTTAACGCTGGACTCTGTCTTGTAGTGGACATGCACGTCCCTAAAACCTTGGCTCAGTGGACAGGAATCCAGACGCTTCTTATTGGCACCAGGATGGCAGCCTGGACCCTTTGGGACCCAGAAGAATCATTTACCCCCAAACGGCCTTGCTGCTGATCTCAGGCATCGGGGATTTGGGTGTGTGGAGTTTTTTGAAAAGTTTTGTTTGATGTAGACCACACGTTTAAAACGTACAGCTTGGGAGGTTTGGGCGTAAGGAGACACCTGTGAGACCAGCGCTGTCATCAGGAGAGTGGACGCATCCATCACCCCCACAGGTGTCCTCGGAGCCTTGGGAGGCCGCCTCCCTGGCCCAGGGCAGCCGCTGGCCAGCTTTCTGTGCGTGTGGTCGGCGTTTCTGGTACTTTCATAGGAACGGAGGAGAAAGGAGGCGGCTTTCCTCTGGGTCTGGCTCTGACCTTCCGCGGGGTGGTCTGGAGGTTCGCCCGGGTGCTTGTGTCTGTAGGTCCGGTTCCTTTTCTTGCTGGTGGGCGTCCGCCACGTAGCCTGGTTTTGTCCATCCACCCGCTCGGCGCTCGGAGGAGTCCGGGTTGTCCCCAGGGTGGGGCTGTCACCAGGAGAGCTGCGGGGATGTTTGTGTGAACGCGAGCTTTCCCCTGCCTTGGCGGTCCCTATGGGTGCGGAGGCTGGGCGCGCAGTGGGTGGAGGCCCAGCTCCCCGAGGCCCAGCGCCTCCACACCCTCGCCAGCACCCGGCTGCGGGCCCCTTTCGTGCCCGGCCGCCTTGCGGGGGGAGGGCTGGGCGTGGGGTGGTTTCATTTGCGCCTCCCCGTGACCCATGGTGCCGCGTGTCTCTCCACGTGTCAATTTCCTGTGCGTGTTTCTTCCTTGGTCAGGTGTCTGAGCAGGGGTTTTTTGGCCCATTTTTTAAAAGTTGGGTTTTCTTTTTCTAAGTTCTTCTTTATCACTTTGTTTGTTTGTTTTTGTAACTTTTTAAAGTTTCTTTCATGTAGTTTTATTTATTTATTCGTTTATATTGAGGGGAGGTAATTAGATTTACTTGCTTATTCCTGGAGGAGGTGCTGGGGATTGAACCCAGGGCCTTTTGTATGCTCAGCTTGTGCTCTGCCACTTGAGCTACGCCCTGCCCTGGCTTGTGGGTTTTCTTGTTGCGTTTTGAAAGTTCTCGATACATTTTGAATACCCGTCCTTTTTGAGCCATTGGCAGGTTCCCGGCCGTGCTCATCTTTCGAAGAGCAGGCTTCTTTCAGACTTGCTGCTTCGGGACCCCCGACTTGCCCTCTCGTAGCCGGACACCCGCTCCGCGCCTTCCATCTGCCCCCTGCTCTGCCTCATGGCTGGGGGAGTCCCAGTGCTGCCTCTGTAGGGGACCTTGGGTGAGGGCCCACCCCCGCCACCTGCTGATGGGGAGACCGAGGCTGAGTCGGGGCTCCTCGCCTGTCCCTGATGACACAGGGAGGCCCGGGACGAGGGCTTCCCCATGCCCTCCCTCCATGCTGGGGCATCTCACAAAGCGGCTCTGGACCACAGTTTCAAAACAGAGTAAGTGAGGGTTTCCAGCCAGAGTTACCATGGCAACCCTCAGCCTCGCCGTAGCATCCCCTGGAGCCGCAGATGGCAGCCAGCTGGGCTCGGGAGGAGCTGAGGACTCCCTCTGGGCACCCCCAGCCTCTCACCTCTCCCTGCGCACGTCTCGTGGGCCTGCCCTCTCTCTTGTGGGTGTGACAGGCACCAAGGGGCATCAGGGGGTGCTAGGACCTCAGCGGCAGGTGCACAGTAGGCCCTGCGTGCTTGCGGGGCAGACGGGGAAGAGGTTAACAGCCTCCATCTCCTTGGGGTGGGACAGGACAGTGAAGTTCCAAGCTGGAAGTTTGGAAGAGGTGCCGTCCTGCTCCGGGGGTGGGTGCTGACAGCATCCCCTTGCTGTGGGAGCCCAGCTGCTCCTGTCGCCAACGGTCCCAACGGTTCCCACCAGCCTTACCCAGTGTGGGAGGGCCTGGGTTGGGCGCAGCCCATGGCCCGTTTCCTTCCCGCCTCTCAGCAGCACCCTGGTGTCACCTGCCTGGGGATCCCCGGAGATGCTTGGGGCTTTCCTCAGGGCAGCCCGTGGTGCCGGGGACTCGAGTCCACACGCCTTCCTGGACATGTCCCCCCTCCCCCGCCACTGTCTGAGGGTCCTGCTCCCTGAACAGGGCCTTGGGGGCAGGCACTGGGCCAGCCAGGTGGTTTTCCTTGGGGTCCAGTTTTTGGTTTCTCTTCCCCACTGGACATGTGGCCAGCGGTCTGTGTGGGAGCTGGCACTTGGAGCTCAGGGAACAGTTAGCGCCTTGGTGGGGCAGCCCAGGCCGAGGCCAGGCCAGGGAGGGCAGCCTGGGTGCTTGCTTGGGTTGGTCAGAGGTTAAAGCATGGGCCTGGCCAGGCCTGGTCTGGGTTCACCCTTAAGGGCAGACCCCACCCACCACGGAGCCCTTGAGGGTCCCCCCCCGCAGCCGGAAGCCCCCGCCCCCTAAGCAAGAGCCCCTTTCCTGCCCCGCCCTCCCCCCCCACCCCGGGCAGCCTCTCCCTCCTCGTCCCTCTGGGGAGCACTGCGGGCTTCCTTTCTCTCCCAGAAGTTTCCCTTCTCCCGTGGACACAGGGATTTATCCCACAAACCGGCAGTCCCAGGGCTTCCTGGATGTCCCCAGCCCAGCAGCGTCTGCTCTGGAATTCCTCCGCCAGCTCTGCCAGGGCCCTGATGGCATCAAGTCACCACCCACTTTGTCCTGCCCGCAGAGACACGGAGTCCCCTCCACGGGGTTCCCAGACCAGCTCCGTACTGTTGGGGCAGGGCCACCCCTTGGACGATGGCCCAGCGTTCCTTGGGCACTCGGGGTGTCTGATTTAGTAAATAAAACACAGGACAGCCACTTAAACTCGGACTTCAGGGAAGCAGTGGATACTCTTTGGCATAAGTGTGTTCCACGCAGCGTTTGGCACACACTTAAACTGAAGAAGTACCGTTGCCCACCTGAAACGTGGATTAACCAGGAGTCTTGCGTCTTATCTGGCAGCCTGTCCTGGTGGTGCTGGCGGGAGGTTTGGGGACCAGCTGTGTGGCCCCTGATTCCCAGGCCCTCCTGGGGCATCTTGAAAGCCAAGGCAGCAGAGTGGACGTTTGGAGCTAGCAGGTGGTCCAGACCCCAGGTGCCTACAATCCCCTGGACGCTGACCCAGCAGAGGGGAGGGTCCAGCACCTGCCTCTCTGCGCGTGCAGCGTGGTAGGTTTCACTCACCACTGCCATGCTTGGGGCCACAAGTAACACCGTGCCCTGCTCTTCCCTCAGCTGGCCGGAGGTGTGATCCTGGGTGTGGCCCTGTGGCTTCGCCATGACCCGCAGACCACCAACCTCCTCTATCTGGAGCTCGGAGACAGGCCCGCACCCAACACCTTCTATGTTGGTAAGTGCACACGGGACTGGCTGAAGACCCTGGCCAGCTCTGGGCTGGTGGCCTGCAGGGATGGCCCACTGGGGTGTCTGATCAGAAGTTCAGTGAGGCTGCGGACAGGCAGTCAGGGAGGGCTTCCAGGAGGAGGCAGAACCTGAGGCAGCTCAGTGGGGCTTGCTTCTTGCTGGGGTGAAAGGACGCCAGCGAGGAAGAGCTCGTGGGGCACAAGAGTGAGCCAGAGCCAGAGAGCAGGTGTGGTTATATCGGCCTGAGGGCCTTGGGGTCCAGGGGAGGCTTTAGGGCCTGAGTCCCCTCCAGTGCAGTGCCTGGTCGGGTTGGGGGTGCTCCTGGGGAAAGCTGGAACTGGGAATGGTGTGTGGCTTGTTGGGAGCCCACCAGATGGCCTCGGGGTAGGGGGCGCTGGGCAGGAGAGCAGCAGCTGGGCGGGGCTGGGGAGCCATGTGCTGTGGTGGGTATTTCGGGGAGGGAGTGTCCTGGGAAGGGGTGTAGCTGGATGCCTGGGCAGCCTGAACGGCAGCTGAGGCAGCTGGAGCCTCAGGCCCAGGAGGGGGCAGCGCGAGTCAGCCCTCACAGCCACGCCTAGTGGCCTTATTAGGCTTAGAGTCTGCCTCCTGGGCACCAGCTGAGGCCCTGAAGGGCGTCAGTCAGGCTGGGGGATTGGGCCAGCGGTCCCCAGGGACAGGGGTGACAGGAGGAGGAGAGGCAGGGGGAGGAGGGGGCCTCCCTTCTGCGCACAGCCGCGCCCCTCCTTCGAGTGCCCCCCGCCCCCCCCCGGGAGGCGGGGCCTGGCCCTGAGCTCTGCATGTGTCTGTCGAGCTGCTTCTGCCCTTTAAAGGAATGGCTCAGGCTGGGCGGTGGGGGCTGGAGGCTCTTGCATCTTCAGGGCTCAGGGCTCACCGCTGGGCCTGCGCCCACTCCCTGCCGGATGCGTGCGCCCCTTGTGCACCCCTGCAGGTGTCTGGGTCCCTCCCAGCTGCCACTTGGGGCCCCCACACACCTGGGGTACATGCTTGGCTGCTGGAGCGGGGCTGGCCCTACCCACTCACCGTCCCACCCTCCGAACCCCAGGGCCATGGGGGCACACCTGTCCCCTTCCTGCCCGTGGTCCTCCCTGGGCTGGAAGCTGGAGAGGGCTGGGTTCCAGGGAGCATCAGCAGGGCAGCAGAGATGGGAGCTTGCGGCTCTGGCTGTGGTTTCCTGGGGCCTGCGGTCTCCAGGGAAGGGCCCAAGCCACGGGTTCCAGGATGTGGGGCCCCCTACAGGCGTGAGTCTCAGGAGAGGGTGCAACCATGCCCTCTACAAGTGCCCGAGGGGCTGTGACCCAGGGCCCCCGCACACGGGCCTGGCACACTCAGAAGCAAGGCAGTCAGCTTTGCTTACAAATCTGAGGATGTGGGAGTATTCTCTGAACTCTCAAGGGCTGTTTCTCTCCTGTAGGGCTCCCCACTCCTCCTCCTCGTTTCCCCAGGGGTCTGAGCCAGCAGCACCCGGGTGACCCAGCACGTCCCCAGTCCTGTCCATGTGAGGGGGGCTGCCACCTTGGCTCGCCCTCCCTGGGCCTTGGGTGCAGGGGGGTGTGGGCTTTGCTGGTGGCAGAGTTGAACCCACCCCAGGGCAAGGGATTTGGGATGGGGCCCCTCTCCTGGGACAGGGCCACCTGCCTTATGGCTGGGGCGGCTCCTGCTCTCAGCTCGGCGCCTGGCCCAGTGGGGCTCACCTGCTTCACCAGGAAGGCACAGCCTGGGTGGTGTGCTGCAGCCTTGGGTGGGGCCCAGCACAGCCCGCTCGGACACGGTCGGGGGCAGGCAGGTGGAGGTCTGCAGCTGCTCCAGTGGTCCCACGGGAGAGGCTCGTTGGGGGCAAGGCTGGCGTTGGAGTAGGTGTCCCAGGGGCCTACCCACCGGGTGCCACATCAGGCACCACCGGGGACCTGACATGGCCTTCCCTGGCTCTGTGGAAGCCTGTCCTTGGAGAAGCAGCGTCGGCCACTGGACCGCCAGGCAGGCGGGGGACCAACCCTGGACTTGGGCTCCTGCCTCTCCTCCATGGGTGGGGGCCTCTCTGCCCACTGAGTCCCTGCCCACCCAGTGCCAGCCTTCTGGGACCTCTTGCTGGCCTCGATGCAGGCTGGGCCTGCCAGGGAGGTGGGGGAGCCGATGTGGGCCCTGACAAAGGCTCTTTGTCTGATGCCAAGAAGCTGGGGCGGGTTAGCTGGGCTCGCTCAGCACCCCAGGCAGTGCTGCAGGGCCCAGGAGGGTCCTCGGCCACACTTGCCAGAGCCCGGCCCATGGGCTCTCGTGGAAGGCCGGCACTGTGAGGGGGCCTGGGGTTGGGCACCTGCTTCCAGGTCTCCTGGACTCTCGCAGGACCCTCCATAGCCCGAAACGCCAAGACGCCCCTTCCCAGCACCCTGTGCGGTCTCGTTCACCTAGTTACATGGGGATGGGGGCCCAGGGGTCCCACCTCACCTCAAAGAAGGGGGTCTCAGGACCTGTGGGGAGGGAGACCTGGCTCCAGGGTGCTGTGCCCCAGTGAGCAGCCCTGAGGGCAGCCCTGGCAGGAGGCATCCCCTCAGCCAGGCCCACTAAGTGCTGACCAGAGGCTCGGTCTGGTCAGGATGCAGCCCTGGGCCTTTTCTGAGCCCAGCAATGGGTCCTGTCCCCCAGGCTCCTTCTCCAAAGGCTGGCCAGGCAGGCGAGATGGGCATTTGGCACCAGAGCCCTGGAACCCTTTGTCCCAGCTCTGTGAAGGGGCTTGGACCGCCTACAGCGTAACCATGGTGACTGGGGGGCGGGCCTGGGTCTACTGGAAGGACTAGGGTTGTGGGAGGTCCTTGGAGAGATGTGGTCCGTGTTTCCAGGGACGCAGGCCCCATCTCAGTGGGCTGTGGGCACCGAGAAGGCCCGTGTGGCCAGTGGGTGTTGGACATGTAGGAGGGCAGGCTGAGCCCCATGTGCCATCCTCAACCTGTCCCCGCCACCGTGCACCCCAGCTGCCAGACCACCTCGCGCAGCAGGCTCCAGCCCCCAGGGGCGGTGCCTCAGGAGCCGGTTAGAGCCCGCTCCCCCAGGCAGAGCAGCCAGACTTGACCTCCCGCCTAAAAGCAGCATAACTGAAGCGGGCGTTGCCAGAGCCCTGGGCGCCCCCTCCACCCCACCCCCAGGCCGAAAGCTGGGCCTCAGTGCCAAGACTTGGAGCGGTCCTTCACGGGCACTTGTGGGGCCAGAGTGGGTGCAGGCTGTCGGGGTCAGGCCAAGCGCTCTGAGAGCTCACCGAGGGCCATTCAGTCCTGGCTTCGGCGTCGCTGGCCTCCTTCCATGTCACAGAAGAGGAAACTGAGCATGGAGAGGCGCCCACAGCGCCCAGCTGGGCTGCGGGCCTCCCCCAGCCCACTGGGCAACGGACCCCTTCCCAACAGGGCGTGTGACAGCGCCTGTCGGACCCTCCAGGGTCCCAGGCAGTGGTGTGTGTGCGCGCAGCTGGGGAGGTGGGCTCCTGGGGCGTCAGGGGGTTGAGGTGTCGGTCTCTCTCCCCCTGCAGGCATCTACATCCTCATTGCCGTGGGCGCCGTGATGATGTTTGTGGGGTTCCTGGGCTGCTACGGGGCCATCCAGGAGTCCCAGTGCCTGCTGGGGACGGTAAGGTCCCGGGCAGGGGTGGGGAGCTGCTCCGGCTTGCCAGGCAGGCGGGCGGCTGCAGAACTGGCCGAGAGGAGGGCTCTGGTGGGGGCAGCATGTGTTTGGCCCGGAGCGCCCTCCTCGACACCCCCTTTGTCAGTCCAGCTCGGCAGGCCTTCCCCAGAAGACTGGCTGGCTGCTTTTCCTACTGGTTCTAAACCCCCCGGCAGGTGGATAGCCATGACATCCAGTTTTATGTCTGGTTCCTAGCTCTAAGTTCCAAAGTTGCTTTTTTTTAGTTTCTATTAAAAAAAAAAACCCACAGGTAAAATAGGGACACGCTTGGGAGTGAGTCCTGGGCCCAGGTCTCACCTCAGATGTCCCTGGGCCCTGCCCCCACCAGCAAGAAGCTGAGCCCAGGCTGTGCTGCCCCGGGCCCGGTGGCTGGGAGGCGTGGGCCGTGGGCATCTGGGCCGGGGTCTCCGGTGGGAGAAACCCAGCCTGCCACGATGACCCCCTTCCCATAGGAAAGGGAGGACGGGACACTTGCGGCGCAAGTGGCCCTGGGTGGCACCACCCTGCCCTTGCCGGCCCGCCCAGCCTGTACCCTGTCTCCCCTCCAGCCGCCCCATCCTGCAGCACCTGGTCCCTGGGGGATGATGGGACCTGTGCCTCTCACTGCCGGGGCCGAGTCCTAGACTGTGGGCATCTTGGCTCCACACTGTTCACCTGCCGCCAGGGCCTGGGGTGGGTGGATACCACCGGCCACCCCACACACACCGCGCTGGTCTGGGACCTTGGAGTGCTGGGCCGTCTCTGGCCTGCTCTGACCTCTCTCCCTGCCCTCTGCCTCCCCAGTTCTTCACCTGCCTGGTGATCCTCTTCGCCTGTGAAGTGGCCGCTGGCATCTGGGGGTTTGTCAACAAGGACCAGGTGAGCCTCTGTGCACAGGGCGGGGTGGGGATGGGTGCTGGCGGGGAGGGAGGAGGGCCTCAGGTTGTGGGGGATGGGGCAGATCGTGGGTGCTTTGGGGGGGCACCCCTGGTAGGAAGGCCCGGGGTGCTTTCTGGAGGAGGCAGCCCAGGGTCCCAGTGGGACAGACAGGTCTGTCCCGGAAGTGGCACCTTCCGGGGGGCACCACGCTCTGACCACTCCCTCCCCAGATCGCCAAGGACGTGAAGCAGTTCTATGACCAGGCCTTGCAACAGGCCATAGTGGACGATGAAGCCAACAACGCCAAGGCCGTGGTGAAGACCTTCCACGAGACGGTGCGGCGGGGCCGGGGCGCCTGGAAGGGGCTGGGGCTGGGGCTGGTCCTCTCGGCGAGACCTCGGCCAGGACTGGGGGGGCGTTGGGGCCTGGGGGTCCCTGGTGGTAAGGAGATGGGCCAGACCCCAGGGGCAGGGGTCTCCGAGCAGTGTAGGAGAGTGGGAGGCGGGGGAGGGGTGGGGCCCCTGAGCTCGCTCTCCTGCTGGAGGGGCCTGTCCTGGCCCCCACCCCACACACCAGGCCAGGGCAGCTGCTGGGGCCTCTGGAGCCTGTGGGGGGGGCGTATCCTTGGCCATCGCCCCACACGGGCCAGGGCTGATGGTGGGCACCCTCGATCTCTGCAGCTTAACTGCTGTGGCTCCAACACGCTGACCACGCTGACCACCTCTGTGCTCAAGAACAGTCTGTGTCCCTCAGGCAGCAATGTCTTCAGCAACTTGGTAAAGGTGCGTGGCGATGGGTGGGGTCTCCCGGGGGTGGGGTGGAGCCTGCCCGCCCACCCCCCTAGTTTGGCTGCCACCCCCGGTGGGTCCTGCGTGGTGGCCAGGCCACTGGCTCGGGGGCCCCCCGCTGGCAATGGCAGGACACGGCCACACTGGTTGGCGCCGTGGCTGGAGTTGGGGCCAGGCAGCCTGCGGCTGAGGCCGTTTGTGCTGACAGCCCACAGTGGGGCCAGCCTCTGGCCCAGGTTCCCAACGGGGCAGCTCTGGAGCTCAGCATCGGGGGTCCGTGCCTCCCAGGTCAGCCTCCCGGCCAGGCGGTGCCAACTGATCTG